AGAAGAACAAAGATAGATTCTCTCTACCAACAGAGTTATACTTTTCCTCACAAGCATCAAAGCAGTTCTGCCTATGCCCCAAGATCTCTGAGCTGTTGATTTGAAGCAATTTTCAGTTTTTACCTACAACCCACCCTTCTTCCACAGAACTAGTGGTCAAGAAACAAATGTGAATGCTTTCAAGAAGGATCCCATTAGTGACTCAATATTGGTTACTGGGTCAACCAACCTTGTCTAATTCTCTCTTCTTTTAAGAAGAAAGCCCTTCTCAAGAGGCTCCCAGTCACTTATGTAATGAATTTGGGTAGGCATGCTTCCTGCTATGCTGAGATGCCTAGACACAATATATGTACCAGCTGTACCAACTGTACCTCCCACCCTCCACTCACAACAAAGAGAAAGGTTTAAAGAAGTGGAGGTGTCTATCACTTATTTTTGCTGTCAAGTTCACTAACAATATATACAAAATTTGCTAACTGCAAGTAATCTAGAGAAAGTTGAAGGCAGAGAATATATAAGAGTGTCCAGATGAATTAATTTTATATGTATACAGGAGCCTGGTGGCTCTTTGCTTTCTGGTTAAGAAAATGTATAGCCTCCTTGATTCTCTTGAATTTTCTCACTCCTCTTAAATCCAGTAGGAGAGCGATTCACTTTGTCTTTCTCCCTGAAAGACTTCTTTCTTGCCTTCAATGTAGTTACTCTGGTTTCCTAATCATTAGTTTTTGTACTTACTTCTCACTTCAGCAGTGAGATGTTGTGTCCCTCTGAAAAGACATGTCTTTTAAATCACTCTCTCCAGTATTTCTCGAACTCTAGTGTACAACAGAATCACCTGTTTACAACAGAATCACCTGACTTATAAAAATACACATTGCTGGGTCCCGTCCCTATAGTTTCTAATGGAGGGGGGCCCAAGAATTTGCATTTCTAACACATTCCCAAGTGATGCTGTGGCTCGTGGTCCAGGCGCCACACTTGGAGAACCACTGCTCTAAACCAGCATCTTATTCCCTCAGATTTATGAGCTGAGTGGAATGTCACAATTAGTTTGCAAATGGCATCAGAGGCACTATAGGGCAGATGCTAGAGCTGTGAACATTGGTGAGACCCTCAGAAAGGGTCTCGCCTTGAGCCTGTATCTCCTACAACACTGTTTCAAGATTTCCTGCCAGATTTTGTATATCTTGGCTTTGGTGATGAGAATTAGAATAGGCGGTTTCTATAGATTTTTCAGATACCCAGTTATCATACCTCTTCATCTGTTCAACCCAGTGGCTTGAAACACTTTTAAAACAAAGTTCTAGTGCTAATTCCAACTAGCTTTACAAAATATAAAATGGGAGATTGTGGGAGCAATCAGACTAGTAGCCTTAGGTCCCTCGTGTATCTGCAAGGTCATAATACCTAATTGCATTATTATAATTAGAGTCAGCCTTGAGTTCTCCTCACATATAGGGGGTTGCACAGAGAGAGTTATTAAAAGACTGCTTGTAAAAATACACTATGGATTCACACTTGGCCTCCATCAGCTTATCCTAGCAGCCACAACTTTTAAAATAAATTTTAAAACCCCAGTTAGTCTCCAGGCAATTAAAGTATCAGTTGAAATAAACATTAAAAAAATACAAAAATGTTCATTTTCCAAGCAGCAGACACTTATGTTTTGCTCTAGTCCCATTAACCCAAAGTTTTAGTGATATAAATGTAATCATTCAGTAAGTTGGGCTAAGGCATAATGGAAGAACAATTATACACTGTTCTGTTGTTGAAAACTCATGTTCTAACTAACCTGAAGTACAGACTTAGTGCTCAAGCTATAGGAATCGAGACTTTCTTCACTCCCCTATCAGGAGAAGGTAATAATACAAAGTTGAGAAATGCTGGCATGATATGAAGTCTGGTATTTATAAAGCATCTTGTAGGTTTGGGGGGAAAGAGGCCAGGAATATGAAAGAACATCATGCAATCCCTTTACCTGCACAGGAGCAGATTTGACAGAGGTTGTAGATGCTTTTGCAGATGCCAGTTTGAGGTTTTCCAACAGATTCCTTTTCTTTCAGCATCCTCTCTAAAACTGTAGCAGAATCAAAGAGCAACAATTAGTTAAATCTTCAATAAATATTTACCTACGCTTACATGTGCCAAGCACTTAATAATATATATGATAATTCAAATTCAGATTTAAAATTTCTTCTATTCTTCTGAGATTTTAGCACTAGAAGAGGTGTTCTGGGCAAATCTAGATCAAGCACTAGATTCAGTACAAACTGTTACCTGGGGCAAATCAACCGCCTTTGGCCTTGAGTTTCCTCAACTAAGGAAAAACCAACTGTACCATGTTGGAGGTTTTCAAACTTAAGCTACCATCAGAATCACCTGGAGAACTTGTTAAAACACAAATTGCTGAGCTCCGCCCACAATGCTCTAATTCAGTTGGTCTTGGATGAGGCTCAGGAATTTGTATTTTTAACACATTCCCAGATGATGTTGATGCTGCAGGTCCAGGGAACGTACTTTCACTACAATATAATGATTATGGTCTAAAAATTTTCTGGCTTGCCAGGTTGCCCCTTTCTAGGTTCAAAAACATGCTTTATCTGAAGTATTTTCTTTCTTTCTTTTTTTTTTTTTTTTTTTTGGTCAGTGGCCATTGGTGTTTCTGGGCTGACAGTCTCTTGACTTTTAAGTCTATTTATGAAGCTAAAAGAAAACTCGGAGAATTCCTTACTGTGCCATTCCTTGGGTCCTGAGATCCCCAGCCAGTCTGCCTGCTTTTTTCCATACTTCAGAGTCCAGGGTGTTTAGCTGTACTTAGAGGAGAAATAGGGGAAATGGGATAAGTGCATTTACTCTCTCTCCCCAGAAACAGAAGTCTCTGGGCCACTTTTTGAGAACCACTTCATTAGATGATCTCTCACATCCCTTCCAGCTCTACGCTCTATCATTAAGCTTTTAAAAAGTGTCTCTAAGAATTCATAAAACACATGGTGATGCACGTACTGAGCAACATAGAGACGAGACGGGGCTGGCTCTCTGGGCCTCTCTTTATCTTTTCTTTTGTTCTAATTAGCAACCAATTAACACTGCCAGGTATGAGGTCTGAGGATCTTCAGCTAACTTCCAGCTGCCAAAGTTTCCTACCACACCTATCCAAACCACACCTCCAAATAAGTATTCTGAGTTCTATTGTTAACCTAGGACCCATTCTTTGGGGCCTCCCATTGTACCAGAACTCATCTGTCAAACCTTTTTGTGCATGGTACTGGTGAGAGCTAAATGGCCATCTGCCTCCCAGATTACATTTTTACAGGGACTTTATTTTTACTTAACTCAAAGAGATTGGTGCTGATTTTATATACTTTGAATCATCCTAGTCAGTTGGCATCACTTTGTATGTGCCAACTATCAGAATTTAGTAACTAAGCTATAGTAATAGTTGCTGTAGTATTTTATAAACAACAAAAACCAACTGAAAATTGTGAGCTATCAAAGTATAGCTACCAATAAGGGAAAGAATACGTAAGGCAAAAAAAAATCTGAATTGAGTCATGCAAAAAAAGATGAAAGATTGTTTTAAAAAATTAATTTGGACTAAGGCGAAAATGGTTAACAAGTATTTTAAGTGCCTACTCTGATGAATCCGTGGAGATTGCCTAGAGAGTTAGGCTTAAAAGAATGGTGAGGCAGGGGCTAAACTTAGCAAGAAAGCATGGTCAACTTGCAAATTCCATGTTTGTTGACCCTAGCCTCAGGTCTCTCTAGTTTTAGAGCTACCTCTAACTTCCCCTTGTCTTCACCAGCACAAGCAGTTGGCTTTATTGGAGTGATATTTTTCACAAAGAACTAAAATGTTTGTTTGTTTCACTTTAGCAGAACTTCTACCTAAGGGCTAATGCATAGAGGACAGCCAAATCCCACTGGGATGCAATGAAGTATACCAGCTGACTAAGTGGCTTGCTGCTACATGCTAGCCTCACAGTATGATCAATTTCAGTTCTTGCCTCAGCATTTTTCAAATTACTACATGGGTATTTAGGGTTACTCACTATTAGTTAAAAGTATGGTGGTTAATTGTGTAAATGAGGTTCGCTTCTTGGTTTGTGCACGTGACTGTTGCTCTTAGAAATAGTCCTTGATACAAGTTGACAGTTTTAGCTGGGAGAGTAGTTATAATTGATGAATGCACCTGGAAGTAATGCTAACTTTGCAAATGTGAAAAAAAGAGCCCTTTAGAACTGAGCCTTGAAGGATTAATAGAATTTTAAAAGCAGGTTAGTAGTGAAAAAGAAAGCATTTCAGGCTGAGCAGCCCTGAGGAAAATGTTTTTCACTTTAGTTCCTATTGCTTCCTACAAAGATCCTATGGCTTCTTTACCAATACTATTAAAAGCTTAGTGTACATTAACGGCCCACTCTTCTGCCTCTTGGCTGTGTGTATTAGTGGTGTTATCGAAGGACATACTAGTGAGAGAAAAAGAAACTTTTCAGAGCAAGAAAACCACTGCTGTGGTCCATGAGTCCCTTTCTCATTTTTCTCAACAACCACAAGCAGAATTCAAGAACAGGATGTAAACTATATCACATATCTCAGTATTCTCAGGATGACTAAAATGAATTGCAGAAATTCAATAGATTGATGACAAGGACAGACATCTGTTTGCTGCTTCAGAACCCAAGGCATTTTGGGGGTTGGGTCAGAACACAAATGGATTCATGTGTTTACTTCTAATAAAAACTTGGCTAAGCACACACTTTGGCCTTAAAGAGTCCTGTCAGGTTCCATAGAAGCAGGACCTGAGAGAAGAACTCTTGTTCAAGTGATTTATTGGGGGAGCACTTTCAGGAGCAGCGTTGAGGGAAACAGGCGAGGGCAAGGAGCAAAGGGAACAAGGATCTGCTCTCAGCTGGAAACCAGCTTCAGTCACATCCCTGGGGAAGTGCTGGTGTATGAACTGCACCACAGAGTTACTGGCACTTTGAGGAAAGTGCCTTTGTAAGCACTTGCTGCAGTCATTAGTCAAGGTCATTTCTCAGAAGGGAACATCTGTGATGGTTATGAACACTCACAGTAGCTGCGGGATCTGGGCAGGGCACGAATAACACCCGCTAAAGGCATTTTCATTAGCAATTGGTGACCTCTATTTCACCGACCAATTTATTTCTCCTACTTCACCCTCCTTCTCTCCAGTAGGGGGTAGGCAATCTTTTACATAAAAATAAATGTTAGGCTTTGCAGGCCACATACTATTTCCATCACAACTATCCAACTTTTCTGTTATAGCATGAAAGCAGCCAGAGACAATATGTAAATGAATGAGCCTGACTGTGCTCCATTAAAACTTTACTTACAAAAATGCGCAGCAGGCCAGATGTGACAATGCAGGCCAGACTCCTGCTCTAAGCTCTCTCCTCTCTACTTCCTGACTTACTTCCTTGACTACTCATCTTTGCTCTCTCCCACATATAATCTCACATATAATTACATGTAATTGCACCTATTAATTCTCCATTGCTCTCCTTCCTACTCTCTCCCTCTTCTTAAATGCCTCCCAGTCACCTTTACCTTTTATTCTACTTATATTCTTATTTGACCTTTGAAATGCAGCATCATTTGAAATACCTCACACAGTGACTTAATAAAATTCCCATTGTTCTTTCTTTCAATGATTTCTTTGTTTTACCATCATATCTCTATTCTAGTTCCTTATTTATTTCTGATTGATCAGAATCTCCAAATATCCTAAGATTCAGTCATCTCAGGCTAGTCTTCTAGAATACAGCAAAAACATTGTACCCACCAACCAGTAACAAATTCTGTACTTATTCCAGATACCTACAAGAATCCAGGGTTTCTGTTCATCTTGCTTCTTTGATACTATGAATATTGGTTCAAGTTTTATCTGTTGTATTTGAAACAAGAAAAAATATAGATTTTCAACAAGTCTGGTAGCCCAGTCTAACCTCTTACCCTCCTCTAGGAGCATCTAAGGACAGTATATAATCAATATGCAAAAAAGCAATCAGATATAGAAGGTAGAGTTTTCTATAGAGATAACTTTATTTTCATGCAGAGGGTTCTTTTATTTTCCCTTTTCAAGATTGTTTCATTATCTTAGAATCCACTTCTTCATGTGTTTTTTCTCAAAACAATGGTCTAAAACCTCTTTCCACTTAGCAGGAAGCATTCTCCTAGGGTGGGATCTCAGAGGCGAGATGGCACAGAGGTACAGCAGAAACCTCTAAATTAACAGTCATCATAATTCGCTCTTAATTATAACCAATTCACCAAAGTACGGTATTACTTAAGGGTGTAAGCCAAAGCTCTGGCTACCAATGAGGTAGTTGTTTTCATTGAAAAGGACCTAAGGCACATATCCCTGGGGCTAACTGAAGTGGCAGCAGTCATGGTAGGCAGCTGAACAAAGATTTAAGGATTCAGAATCCCGGGTAAATCTTCTCCCAGAATCTCACCTGATGAAGGTGGGTATATGCAGAAGAGTACAGGATATTGGAGACAGACTCGCTCAGAAACATCGAATTGCAAAAGCAACTTTACTCCTCATGGGAAAAGCCCCAGTCTGAGAGAAAAAATCTCTGGCTTTGAAAGATGTTCTCCATCACTGGTTCTAATAATTATCTCAGTGGGGATAAGAATTCATCTTAAAGGCTAAAGCAGGCTCACTCCTCAAGTACAAATTATAACAACAATTATGTATCTGATCCCACTTGAAGCAGTAGGAACCAGTCTTAGTTAGAAATGGGAATTCATTTTATTTGGGGGCAGGCCCAGATCAGATAGGAAAGTGCACATTGGGCCTGATAGTACGAAAAAATAGTAGGAGGCAGGGAACTCACTATGCAATATTTGCTTTTCTTTTTTCTCCTACATTCAGTGAGGATTGGAAACTAGTATTGCTGGGAATGCAAAGCTACGAATTTTACTTCCAGAGTTTTATCTGTGGGAAGTTAGTTGCTTGCTTGCCAGAAAGTAGGAGTATCTTAATTTGGATTCTCCCAGAAGCAGACTCTGAGATAAAGAATTGAGTAGTTTATTTGGGAGGTGATCCAAGAAACAGTTGCAGGGAAGTGGAAAATGAGACAGTAAAGGGAGGGTGTCAAGGCAGCTACCACTGTGGGGAGCTAGACCTTTATCCTGCTGGAAAACTCCAGGAATCAATGTGAAATAGGCAATTCAGAGATATCCCATCCAAGTCACTGATTAAGGGCTGAATATTGGGCATCAATTCTAAGGTATTTCCAGCCTAACTGGGGCACAAGCAGTAGGTTTCGGTTGTCTTAGCAAACTGTCCAGCAAAGAGGTGCACATGCTGGTAGTTGGAAGATGGGGATGTATCACAAAAATAAGGCCCAAGGTTTATAGCTGGGGTACCAACAGCATCCCTTATAAGATACATAACCTGAACTCATTTGAGTGTGGGTCCTGGAGAGAAGTAGCAAGAATGCAGGGTCCTAAAGGGATAGTAAACATCCTGTTGTCCCTTTTTGGAAATTCAAAGTATATGATCTGGACACTAAATGAAAGACGAGCATCTTACTAAAACCTGGAGAAAGAGATCTTACCATCTCAAACTTAGAGATTTTATTAAAAGAATGGTAGATTTCGCAGTTGTGCATATTTTCCTCTCCCCTTCCCTCTCCCCATCAAACATGATAATAACAATGTAAGAGTCCTCTGCCAGAAGAACTATTACATTTGAGTTTTTAAATCCAAGGGTAGTAGACCAGACAGTGGTTATCAATTAGCCTTGCCCTACAAAGAATTAAAAGCCTCTCTCTCTCTCCCTCCCTCC